GATTAAAAAATGAGCAAGAAAGTGTTTTATGAAATGTGAAGGTTAACAAATGTTCCTTCACAAGCAATGACGACAGTTTATCTTTTGAAACAAATGATCAGGCTACGGTCTGCTAGCAGCTCCCTGAAATACATTTGAAAGATTTCTTCCGAAAGCCCACCGAGGACCAGCGCATGCAGCCAGCAGCCCACCGCGCCGCCAACACCTCGGACAAAGCTGGCAGCAAAGCAAGGCTGATGCAGTGGGGCAGGAGCCAGCCATGCTCCTGTCCCAGCACTCTGCCCCACGCCCGTGGCAAAAGTCCCAAAACTCATCCCTGTCCCTGACCCCTTGCAGTGGCTGCAGCCGCTCCAGTAGGGCAGAGCCACTCTCGGCCCCTGACACCTTCCTGCAGGAGGGGCGGCGCACACGGGGGCCCAGCCCCACACATTGCTGAATTTTGAAGCTGCCTGAGATATTCCAGGAGTCCTTTCTGCCCGTAGGTAAGCACCGATGCATTGCTGCCTCCAGAGCGAGGAGGCAAGCGAAAGCCTGATGCTGGGTGGTAACGGCTGGGTCTGTGCAGCCCCGGGATGGAGCCTGTGCAAGGGGAGGGGAAAGCACGTCTCTCCAGGTAACCAAGTACCTATTCCCAAACTACACACTTGGCTCACGGGCACATTCAAAGAAACATTGGTCTATAAAGAGATCATGAAACACTGATTTTTTTTTTCCTCCTGGTCGTTACACAGCAATATTCCTTTGGGACTTCAGATATAAAAGATACATATATTTACATATTTATGGGTGCAAAATCAGTCTGGCTTTTAATATTTCACGTGATGGTTCACCTAGTAAATAGCAGCGCAATACTCACCCTGTTCTTATCCAAAGGCATACAGAGGAAGCGGCCAACAATAAATTCCTTTGACTGGCCTCCAGATAAAGTACTCCCTTTTTGGTGCAAGTAGATTATGAAGGACGAAAACTTATTTTTAGGAATGAATTCTGCTAAAATTTGACTGGTAGAACAAATACCAGGAGTTGTTGAACAAGGGAAAAAAGAGGCAGATAGAGGCTCTCAACCTATTAAAGGGAAGGAATTACACACTGATGGGAATGGGTAATCCTCCAAGAAGAAAAATTCAAATTACCAGTCACTCCACAAACAGTGAAGACGATGGTGATGGCAACTTTAGTGCCTTCTATTAATAGAACTAATAGTTAAAATCAACAGAAAAAGAAATAGTATATGTAGAAGGCAACAGAAGATGATTTAAAGTTAAAAAAAAAAAAAAAAAAAGCTTAAAATTTCCACAATATACAAGACTGCATAGCAATGCCCTTATTCCTATCTGAGGACCCTGAAATGGTTCCTTAGCTTCAGGAGAACAGAACCCAGAAGTACAGCAGAACCTCCCCAAAAAAATAGCATAAACCTAAATTCTAAAATTACTGTTAATGAGAACACAAAACATCACAGCTATAAAGCCGGCTAAATTTCCTGGGATATGAGAATTATATTGGTCTTCCCAATAAAAAACAAGAAAGAAGTATTTCTAGTGGTCAAACCTTCTGTAACAGACTAAATTCCTCACTACAAGAAAGATGTTACATTGCTGGAACATGTCCAGAGGAGAGCAACCAAGCTGGTGAGGGGTCTGGAACACAAGTCATACGAGGAACGGCTGAGGGAACTGGGGTTGTTCAGCCTGGAGAAGAGGAGGCTGAGGGGAGACCTGATCGCCCTCTAAAACTGCCTCAAAGGAGGCTGTAGTGAGGTGGGGGTCGGCCTCTTCTCCCTGGTAACAGGGGATAGGACGAGGGGGAATGGTTTGAAGCTGTGCCAGGGCAGGTTTAGGCTGGACATTAGGAAAAACTTCTTCACTGAAAAGGTTGTCAGGCTCCGGAATGAGCTGCTACTGGAATGAGGGAGGTGGTAGAGTCCTCATCCCTGGAGGTACTTAAAAGAAGGATAGATGAGGTGCTTAGGGACATGGTTTAGTGATGGGATGGCAGGGTTAGGTTCAAGGTTGGACTCGATGATCTTAAAGGTCTTTTCCAACCAAAGTGATTCTATGATTCTATGCAATTCAGAGAGGGGAAAAATATTTAAAGCAGAAGGTAGTAAGCCCCCTCCCAAAATTAGCTAGTAGCATCATGTTTGGATAGGTAGCCACCAGGCAAGGAGGCTAAGGCTAGCCAGAGACCTTGAGGAGACCATGCAGCCAGGTGAAGTGTTTGGTACCCTACAGCAATACGGACAGATGCCCCCATTTTTACTCACCATACCTATGCTTCTTTAGCGTGGAGAATGTCTGGCCCTGCTTTACTGAGCCACAGAAGCCTTCTCCACAATTTAACCACGCTGCCCAAATAGCAACAGGCTCCCCCATTGCTGGACAGGGGATTATTCTAACCTGACATATGGAGGCGGAGGAGCTACAGAACAAGGTTGCTTCAGGGACCACGCTTAACTGCTGCTGCGACAAAAGCTGCGTGGACATGGTCAAACCCCAGCCCCAACTGTTACCTTCCACGTTTTGTGTCACAAATTGCCCTCTCTTCTCAAAGACGGGACGTGGGCTGTTTCCTGGGGTCTGCGACTCCTGGCTTCTTTCCCCTCTCTAGCACAGACCTCTGGCATGCCCCAGAAAGTTGTGCCATCTTGGGGACAGTGAGAAGATCACAGATTAAGCTTTTCCACCTCAAAGAAGCATTCTCAGCGTAAACCAAGGAAAGAAAGAAATGCTCTACAACTGCAGCAATAAAAAGGCTCTTCTAAGTTTAACAGCATCGATACCACTGCTCTCCTTCAGCACTTTAACGTGTCTGATTTGATGCTGCATGTTATTTTTGTTATGAAACTAGAACAAACCAAAAATCAATACAGTGCTCATTAAATGGACAAAACATGGGGTAGCTTGTAGATCTCAAAAAGCAAATGTAAATGGGAATCACCGCCTAGCTAAGTATTTCCAGTAGGGTTCTGCAACATGTAGAATAACACTGAAAGTCTATCGTTCAGGTCAGATTAAAAAAAATAAAAACACACACACAGACACAGACTGTTTATCAAGTGCACAAATGGCAAAGTCTAGAGAAGTGATAAATAATGAAGAGGAGGATGACTGATGTAGAGAACTGGATCGGCAAGCTGGGTGCAAACAAGATACATGTTTTAATACAACCAAGTATAAAGAAACACTGCAGAGATGAATGCAGCCTATGCTTTCTGGAAGGAAGACTATTCCTGGAAGAAGCTCTCCTGAAAGCTTTTGGGGGTCTTTGCGATTAGCACCTAGCACGACCCAATTGTGATACTATGATGAAAAGAAATGATGCGATCTTTGACAAGGGAAGATCAAGAGCTGTTATATTCTGTATTGCCACATCAGAATTATGTCTGCAACACAGAAATAGTAGAGCTGAGCTGAAGGAGGTCAATGAAGAACCAAAATGCTAATTTGGGGTTAGAAATCTGTGTGTTAAAGAACCTTCTGGAGCTCAGTTTCTTCAGCTTGGCAGAGACACAGTTAAGGATATTTCCAGAGCAAGTGATGTGGCGTTAGTAAATACTCAGACTTGAGACAAGGTACAAAAATTACTTCATGACAGTGAAGACAGTTAACTCCTTCCTCATTGCACCCTTTCCACCTTTCCAAAGGCTGCTTATCCTGTTTCCCCCCCGCCTTTCAGATGTGTTCCACCCTTACCCAAGTTTCTCCTCACATACATTTTGGGAATGCATCCCATCTAACCTGGTATGGACCTGTGAGTGCTGCCTGAGCAACAGAATTTCAGCTGTGACATTTCATGTGTGCCCTGGAGAGCTTCAGCTCAAGCAGGAGCAAAAATCCTCATGTGGGCTGGATGCTCCTGTACACTGCCCAGCTGAAAGGCAAGCTGGCACTTCCCATAGGGCAGCTAATGGACTTATTTCTTCTATTTGGCTCAGTGCTTAAGCTCTCATCTTTAGAAGGAGGAGAAACTTGTTTGTTCAAGTTTACTAAGAAAATATTTACTAGAGATTTTCAGGAATATGTTTTACATTGAAACACACGAAGCTTCTGATCATTGAGACCAATCTAGCCAGCCTCTGGACCCCACGAGGTTAGATGGCATTTTGCCTCCCTGTCTTAGAAGAGCATGTTTTTGTTTTGCTTCAGATGTGTTTGCTGGTTGAGGTTGCATAGGAAATGCTATCAGTGCTTTCGGGGGGAAAAAAAAAAAAAAAATCAACCCAAACCACACATATTAGCTGGAGATCAAGTACACTCTTACAAAGGAAAAACAAAGCAAAACTCTAAGCATTTTGCAGTATGACCCTCATAAGAATGTTTGCATTAGGCCTGCTGTCTTATTAAAATTAATTTGTTTTATATAAAGTATTTTGTACAAACCCCCCATACACACCAGGCAAAAAATCCCATGTGTTGTTATGTATTGCAAACACACACTGACAGAGTAGTTCTAACTCAGAGTTAGTGATGGTCTCTGCAGACTTCCTTATGAAGAAAAAAATTTTGAAGTTGATCTGTAATTTTGGAATGTTTTGCTCTGTTTACTTAGGGAAGAGACAAGAGCCCCTTGGGAGGAACCTTACTCAATATAAGCACTAGAAGTCTATCTAATAGCTGAAAAGGAAAGGTAAAGGTTTGGTCAGATGTTAGTAATATGCAGGAGTACAACATCAAAGATACGCAAGAAGAATTACCGGTCTTTTCCTAATTTTCACAACAAGCACTTCTTGTTCTTGTTGGTTCATAATAATAAAGAGTTAAGCCATGCCCTCCTCCTTCTACCTTGGCCTAAAAATAGGTTGTCACCTCCCTGCCTACAAAATAACATTAAGTGCAAATAAAAAGCCATGCTTAAACAGAGGAAGAAACTCCAGCCTGTTCTGGGCAGGGCTGACCACGCAGAAGTACATGCCTTCATAGCAGAGGTTTAGAAAGACAAACAGCTGGCAGCACACCGAGAGGCTTTGGGAAGAGCCCACGGTGCGTTCCTCTATTTACCTCAGGTAATCTCTGCGGCAAAGAATGAGATTTGCTTTTGTGTAAAGAGTTGATCCAACCTCTCCAAGACGGCAGTCACAGCAGGCACACTTTAGACAGTCTTCATGCCAATACTTATCCAGAGCCTTCAGCAGGTACCGGTCCTTGATCTTCCGGTTGCAGCCAGCGCAGCCCTTCTGCTTCCCTTTGGGTTGTACAGATAACATTGGCACACCTGCAACACAAACAGAGAGTTTCCTTTAGAAGATATCAAACAGCTTGAATAGGTTTCCTGCATTCGGGGTAGCACTGTGAGCTACGGGTAGATCTGTGAGCAAATACTGCTGCTGGGTTCATTGCAAGGTGTTCACGTTGCAAGAAGCCGATGGTCAAAGGAACTCAAACTTCATTTGCTGTCAGAGGGCAAGTGGGAGCGCGACACTTGGAGGAACACAGCCCCTTTTTCCTAAGGGTAGGGCTGACACAAAGCACCAGACTTTTTTTTTTAATTAACATCTTACAGCAGCATAAACTGGCTGCAATGTCAACATTTGCTTTTTTCCTCATTACCAGTACCCTTGTGTTGTTAATTACCTGCCATAGGCAATTACGGGGATCAGAAGGGCCACCACTGTACATACCCCCACTCCAACATCTTGGCTGGATCAAGCTTGATGGGGAAAGGAGAGGAGAGGGTATAAAAGATGTGGTACACCACTGCTTGTCCTCTTGTGAGCCCCGCTGGTCACAGAGGCCTCAGTGAAAGCTAGAACAGCCCAAGGGCTGCTTTAAAATAAATGTTACTCAAAAGCCCTCAAGAACTACTGAAAATAACCCAACCACTGCCCCTCTACCACTGGTGAAGCCATGCTCCTCAAGCAAAGCAGAGCTTTCCTTCTCCTTCTGTGCCACTGGAGAAGGTAATAAAACCCAGGATTTTTTTTTTTCCCTGGAAACCCTTGCTGGGACTGCATAGCAAGCATGAGCCAGCTGGGTAGGAGGTAGCGACAGGCCACTCGAGTCCCTAGGCTGGCAGTGGAGACTTGCTGTGGCCACCTTCCTCACTGCTGTCTGAGGCTTCTTCCTCCCCTCCCAGCCACAGTGCCTCCCATGGCGAGCACTGACATGGGTGCCAGACCTACCACCCTTCTCAGTTTAAGAGGGAGGCAGGGAAGGATTTTATGGGATCAACAGGCAAGGTGGAAGAATAAACAAGGATTGTACCAGGGGGGGAGGAAAGGGACAGGAGACGGTGAAAGAAGAAACGAACTCATGAAGACACCAGAATCCCATTTTCGCTAGAGCCCTGATTTTACTTTGTTGCTGATTTTTATTTTTACTAGTGTCAACTGCTAAAAATGGAAGTGCTGGGCTTTAACGAGCGTGCCCTGGGCTTACCCAATGCAGAGAACATGAGAGGGGAAGCTCTGGCTCCAGTAGCAGGTGTCACTGGTTCTATACTCTTACACAAAGTTAAGCCACTGTTTCTGTAGGAAGCGCCGGATGTCCCAGAAAGCAGCAGCTTGATAATGGAATTATTAACAGTCCCTTAACCGGAGAGGACCGAGCCAGTGCCACTGTAATAAGTGACATTTGCTGCTTTCCTTAAAAGCCAGGGTGACCTGACGGTGGCTAATGCTCGGCACATGTAAAACCCACCACTCCTACAGTAATAATTGCTTTGTCAGAGCTGCAAGCAGACGACAATAGCACTTAAGACACCTCTACACAAACAGCGAGGTATTGATCCATTTGTTATCAAAGTGGTCTCAGCAGCACGGAGACAGGTCAAGTAACATTCAAAAACTCTCGAGGCTTAAAGAGCCCTCCTCTTCGCTGCGGCACACTCGAAATCCGTTCGCAAAGTCGATACAAGCAAACTTTTGATGCCGGTGACAAACGTGCAATAACGAAGTGAAAACTTAAATCTGCGTTTGCCTGCCACTTACGCAACCCGTAATGCTCCCGAGAGAGGTCCTGCCTACACAGCCACAGAGAAACCCCCATGCATTTGGAAAGAGGGAGAAGACAGGGACGTGTTAGAAGCGTAATGCACTGCGGGTGCTGGAGGTCAGACTGCAGAAGTTCTGTGCTCCTGGTGAGAGTTTCTTATGTGAACAAGGGAAGTGGCCCCATGGTTCTGGACGCAGTACACACTTTTTTTTTTTTTTTTTTTTTTTCAGAGTACATTTCAACTAATTTCTTTTTCAGAAAACTTAAAGCCTTCATCCCATGCTCTCTCCAGCTCCACACAAGGAAAACAGCACATGGTGAGAAGAGACTGCCTTATTCTGAGGCAGAGAAGGGCGCATATGTGAATTTGCATTTGCAAACTGTGTAAGATCAGTACCAGTGACGAAAGAAAACAGTTCGCACCTATGAAACTAAGACCTGGATGTGCGAATTGTATTTTAAGATAGGAGCCCTAGACATCAGTGAGTCATTACCCACTCCCCAAACAGCTCTCTAAATGTGAGCTGCATACCCTTAGAGGCAGAAGAGGATTTCTTACAAGGGGAGGTAACCATACGATTCTTTTGCAAGGTTCGTCTGGGTGACCTGAGGATCCTGTGTCTGGAGGTACTGCAGAATTCAGAATGCAGATTCTACATACCCAGAGCCCCTTAAACCCCCTCGCAAGACAACTGCCATGTGGGCAGGGTTTGAGATCATCTCTGCGATTCAGAAATAGAAGATGTCCAGCCAGACAGGACTTCCCAAGGCCCTTGAGTGCTCTTTCGGAGTTGCAGCTTTCCTCACCCAGAGCGCGGGGTCCACTGTAACAGCAGCGTGGTCAAGCGCAGGGGCAGCTGTCAGGGACAAACCCCTGGCTGGACCATTAGGAGAGGTTGGTTCGATTGGTAAGGGTGGGTTGGCAGGTTAGGAGGGTCTCCTGAGGCGGCAAGCGGGCCTGGGCGGTTGTGGGTTGGCTGTAGCCATGGTTCTTGTTCTACCTGCAGCCCCTCGCTCGCCGCTGCCGTCTCAGTTCCCTGCCATTGCACGCACACCATTGTCTTAGGAGAAGCTACTGCGAATAAGGGGAATGTAACACTTTGATTTTCTTCTAATAACTAGCAAAGGAACAGATATATATATTTTTAAACAGTACCTTAAGCAAGGAAAAAAAGCAACGTATTTGGTAGGGGGCTTTCTAATGAAAAAAGGTACCATATTTCAGAGATCATATGATGTTCAAAGCTGCTATTTCCACTCAGATAATAACGAGCAAGGTCAGCCTCTGCTGGTCAGGTTCAGTGTTTTGAAATTACATTTTGGTCTGTGAGGCTTCCCTCCGACATCCCAACCAACCGGTCTGCACGGAGCGCACACACCACTACAGAAAGTTGCAGCTGCAATTAGCTGGTGAGTTGACACAGCAGGCAAGGCGTGAAACAAAATTTCAAAAACTGCCAAACTTGATCAGCAAGGGTTCCTCGCATGCTTGCCATGTCATTTCCAAGCAACAAGAGAGCAGCATCTCAGAAGCTTAACCCCTTTCACAGTCGGAGGCTTGCAGAGAGAGGACACAGCCAATGCCAAACCCCACTTTCCTCCTCCTGCCTCCCTTGCAGCAAATCCCAAGCAGCCTGGGCTTTGCAGGCGGAAACCACCTGGAGAGCTGCTCTTTCTTTTCGGAAATTTCCCTGCTGCGAGACTGCAATGCTGCTTCATTTCCCTATGTAGATTTTTCCCCAGTACATACCAAAAATGCCAAGATACCTAGTGCAGTTTGAGCAGGGGCATGGGGTGTCTAACCAGGGCTGCCGAGAAACAAAGGGCTCACCTTCGACAAATTCCACACGCGCTCTGTGGGCAAGGATTAGAAAACGAGAAGTTGTGTTGCAGAGGTAGGAAAATTAACAGTCAGGCACTCACCCGTTTAAATACCTGATCACAAAGGGAACGCTGACTGATGACCAAATTCTGAAAGTACCATCAAGTTGCTCTCTCTTCGCCTCTTGATAGCCATCCATCGCTATCTTTTCTTAGAAACAGTAGATGAAGCCTTGCTATTTTTGGCTACCTACACTCCCTTCTTTGCCCTTTACAACTTAATAGACTTGCTGCTGGTAAATACAAAACAAAACCTGTTCCGAGTGCTCGGAGCTCCAATGCACATTAAAAAATTATAGACACCACCTCTGGACATGCTGAAATTTATGGCTGTGTCTAAAGAGGCTGTTGTTGTAGTGAGTAATCTAAACTTTACCTCTATTCACAGATGGAAAAACTAGCTTTAATCAGCCTGCATCTTCTCAGTTTGGGGTCTTTCTGTAAAATTACTCAGCTGGCTTTATAACACAAGTGTCCACTAAGTACACCTCTAAATTTTTCTAAGCCATTTTACTGATATTTCTATTCACATGGCAATCAGCTGCAGTTCCTCTAAGGGCACTGTTCATAAAGCCTCGCTTCCAAGAGAGCCTGGGAACTTTTCATAAATGGTAGACCTTTTAAATAACAGTTATCTGCAATGGTCCTGTGGTGTACGGCTCCACAGTGCGCTGGTCTGCAAGAGAGCTACTGGTCTCCTCTGAAAGCATGGAAGTTCACCGCCTAATTTCTTTAATGCAACTCTAAAGGTTAATTGGTCTGAAAGAGTAATGCGGGACTGCTGGCTAATGATATATGCCTCAAGGCTTTGCAGTTTGCCTGTATTTTATACAGTCAAGTCCAGAGCACAGAACAGAGGTGACAGCACCAGGACTTCGCAGACCCCGCTCCGACTTCCCTCAGCCCCCCTCGGCCTCCCCCTCTCCCCCCTCTCCGCTACACCCACATGTGCTGAGAGAAAGCGGCAGGGGCTGCGGGCGGTTCTCCCTCCACCTGCATTTCATGCCTTGTTAGAGGGGGCCTGGAGAAGTGCCGCCACTGCACTCCTCATTACCACCGCAGAGAACTAAAAACAGCCCTAATGAGGAGAGCGAGAGCTTACAGTACGGGGTGGGAGGAGGGACGTCCTCCCACACTCCCCAAGGAATCTGGCCAAAATCTTCAATTTGCCATTTATGACAGCTAATTAGTTATTCTATTCAAAATCTTTGCTTTAAATAAAAGAACTAATTATACACAAAGGTCAGTCCCCCACCTCCTGTGAAGCACACATAATTGGCTTATTTCCCCAACATTGTGTGTGTGTTTTACACAATGCTTTTGGTTGGGGGTTTAGGGTTTTTTTTTTATTGTTGTTTGTTTAGGAGGGGGTGTTAATAAAAACCCAACAAACCAA